ATGAACTTTTCACGCAAAGCATTTATGCCTCATTTCAGATACAACATTTTGAGAAGTGTTTCATCTACCCTTTTCAGTATGGCTGCATCATTGAGAAGAAAATGATGTTGTCATGTTTGATTTCATTAGAATAAAATACTGCCTGATAAGTCTAAAATACTGGAAGTTTTTATAAGTCTAAAAACTGGAACTGCTGATTTTTCCTACATCTGTTATAAGAAGAAATTATTTCAATCTATCCTAGAACTGCAATTATCTAGGGAATATAATTGTCAACAGCATTGGTTATTCATAAATGAAAATAAGAATATTGCTTTTTCCATTCTCACTTGGATATTTAAATTGCACTAATGTATACAGCATTGAATTATGTCCATTTTAAGGTAAATTTGTGGAACATCATTTCTTATAAGTTTCCAAAACATCTTTTCAGAAACGGACTTTTACAAGATTTAGATGATGAAAATATATTAGTGATCATCAGTTGAATTTGAAACAGTGCGACTCTTCAGAAGCCATTCCTTGTGATCAAAGTGACTATTTAGAGGAAAAAGATAAAATAACAAAATGAAAGAAAGAACCCTTTCGAATCCAAAGATGCATGGCGTTCCATAATATCATAAAAAAATTGGTTAATCTTTAGATTATGGTAACTTGGCGATTTTTTGGCGACCAACCCTGCTACAGCAACCTGATTGTTTTGTTTTGGACGCCATTTTGTTTTCACGAAATAAAGGCATTTTTTTTTTACTCAACATTTTTTTTTCCAACAATCTGCTAGCCGAATTACGCTTATGCTAGAACTTTTATGGAACAAAAGTGCTTATTCATGACGAATATTAGGTGCGAAATTGGGAGAAAGTGCAGAATCGCCCAGTGCTTGCCGCGTTTTTAAGAATTGCACATACACGGTATTATCCATGTACACATCGACCTATTTTCACTTAAAAAAACATCCCAGATGCACAAAAAAATGCATTGTGCAAACTCTTGACTTATCCTGTACACTGCTAAAGTCCTAGCTAGCAACCTTTATCGCCTTACCAAAATGTCGCCAAACTACCTGTTACCATATTCCAAAGATTAGCCAAAAAATTGCCTGGCAATACACATATATCTAAAGATGTGGCTTCACCCATCGATGCATGGAAGCTAATATTTGATGACACAATGATTGAAATGATTGTGAAATGCTCTAATATTTATGTAAAAAATATTTCGGGAAATTTTAAAGAGATGCAAAACCGATGGAGAAAGAAAGTGTTTCTTGCTTTTTAGGACTTATGTAAATCCCATTTCCATTATCTATCTCCCATGTAAATGTTAGAGAATATGGGTGACTGATGGAACAGGATGAATATTTTTCATAAAACAATGACCTATAAGCGTTTTCTTTTCATTCGTGCCTTATGATTGTGATATCGGAAACACGGGATGGCAGAAGAAAGAGTGATAAATTAGCTCCAATAATAGATTTGTTTGAAAATTTGTCAGAAATTATATCATGTAGGGGAATACATGACTTAGGACGAAAAGCTAGAAACCTTTTCAAGGACGATGCTCCTTCTTAAGTATATGCCTAAAAAAACCTGTAAGATATGGTATAAAGATATTACTGTGGTTGATTTAGAACCTTATATACTTTCAACAGGAAATTTACTCAGGTCAGTAGCCAGATGGGCCATACAAGAAAGTCAACAGTTCTTGTGAAAAGCAAAGCGCATCCTAACTCCATTTTACAATTCAGGAAGAAACGTTACCACAGACAGTGGTATACCAGTTTATAAATTGGCCAATTTCTTACAGGAAAATAAAATTACTATCGTTGGAACAATATGCAGGATGAGAAGATTATCCACTGAATTTGTGTTGAATAAGAATAGAGAACAGCATTCAACCCTCTTCGGGTTTCAAAAGGATATAATGCTACTTTCTTATATGGCTAAAAAGAACAAATGTGTCAACCTTTGTCAACTATGCACAATGATGACCATATTTATGAAAGCACGGGAGATTTGAAAAAATCTGAAATAATTACGTTTTATAACATGACAAAAGGTTTGGTTTATTGAGATTATGGCAAAGTACACTAGAGCTATCTGCCTAAAGGGAGGGATGTCTTCGTGGAGGACTTTCTAAGGGAAAATGGCTTGTATACACGTTACACATGGGGAAAACCACGAAAACGCCCATGCAGCGAGACTGTTTGCGGGATTTGAACCTCGGACCGAACTACCAATGTTCAGCGACTTTACCGCTCAGCTGCTGGTGGACCCCATGAAAAAAGGAGCAGTTGATATAGTGGACGAAATGGGTGGCACTTACTCTGTGGCGAGAGTATCAAACCAATGGCCTATGGGCATATTTTTTTTTTTTTTTTTTTTTTTGGTTACTGAATATTGCCAGCATAAATTCAAAGATCTTGCTTTTATCTACTAAAACTCCACCAGAGAAGTTCAAGAATAGGAGGCACTTCTGATTTCGTATTTGCACTTTTAGATCCTCATTTAAAATCATGACAGAAACAGAAGGAATACAAGGAAGATTCTCTTGAAGATTCGCAAACAAAGAAAAGAAAACTATGTTACTGGAGATGTTACATGCGCTTAAGAGAAAAAGACAGAAAATCAAAAACTATATGTGTGAAGTGTAAAAAAAAATACTATGTCAAGAACACTGTGAAATAGAAGCTTCATTCAAACTACAAAATATCTATAATTCTCTTGAGCCTAATTGATTTGAAAATTAATTATATAACTCATTGTCCATGTAAAAATTCTGCATAATTTGGATTATAATTGCATTCAAAAATAAAAAACACAAATTTCTCATAGAAATCAATGGTTCCTAGTCATATGAAGAAAACGTAAGTACTTTTGATTTATTTGTCATTAATTTTAAAAGTAACCTTATTTTTAAGCAATTTTATATAATAAATGTTATAATTAATATAGAATGCATTATTTTACATTATTACATTTGTATGTCGTTTAATTGCGATGCGCGTTCTCGTGTTACATAATAATACAGCGCACGTGTCCTTCCCGGGTTAACGATATACCACTAAATGTCATGGTTAACCTACTTATTTTACTTCTATATGCTATATATCTTATAACTTGACTGTACACCGCTCAAATCATCGATTCCATATGTTAAATATCTTGCAACGCAACTAACTATACACCACTAAAATCATAGCCGATTAGCCATTGGTGAGCTTGGCGAATAAATACGCAACGGCGCCAACGGATCCGCTGCGGAAGCGCCAACAGATCCTTTGCGGAAGAAAACCCATAATTTGTTTCCGTAGGCCGAAAAAATGTGCATGTGCATTTTAAATAATTAAGTAATGCTTTTATTTTTATTATTGGTTATTGTCATCTAAAATTATGAGAATAAATCAATTTTTATGACGTAAAATTTTAACAAGTTAATATATTGTTAATGTTTTCCTAACAATAACCTTTCAGAGGATGGTAGGTGTGACATAAATAGATGATTAAATTTGAAATAAAAAAATATTATTGATTATCTAAGATGACAGAATAGTTTGATGCAACACAATGGTCATCAAAATTAGCAAACCACTGCTGGTGTAAGGAATACAGTCAAAAGTCGTTAATTCGGACACCCATAATTCGGAATGATCTATAATCCGGACCTCAAAACTAAAAACTTTCTGCGCATGCGCCGCGTTGACACATGCGCATAGGCGTTTACGCGTGCGAGTAAGACCTTTTACGACTGCGCATACGAGTGTGCACAAGTGCAGAATACGTTTTCGCGCGTGCGTTTTATGTATAATGGACGTATAAGCTAAAATTATCTAATTATCTATTTCAGTTAATGTTGATGATTGCGTTGTTCCTTAATTTTCGAATTGGATCCAGCTTATTATTTTTTGCAGACCGTAAGAGCAATTTTATAAAAGTAAGCTTAAATTTTCAATTATATCAAATAGAATTTCCGATATGTATTTGTTAATATGTAAAGGATCTAAAGCGGAACTACGTTTTGAAATCCGAAATCTGTTTATCAATTTCACGCTGCTCGGCGGGGGGAACGCCGCGGCAGGCGCTTAATGAATTGGAAGTTGATCTGTCAGCACTATCCTTATCTTCAGCGAAGTTGTTTTTATTTTATTTGGCTTATAATTCCTTACCAAATGTAGTATTTCATCTCGATATGCTCCGTCTTTGATATGATTTAAAACAAGTTCCTCGTCATTATAATTCGCTTCCGATAGCGAAGAAAGTGACAGAGGTTATTGAAAACGAAAAAATTTCGATTGACAAATTAGTCGGTGTTCTCGACACAGCAATTATAGGACTTGAACAGCGGAACTTTGTAACTGAACAAGAAATTATGTCTATTTAATAGAATTAAAGAGAAAGTATTATCACATGAAACGAAGCAAAAACTCTTAAACAACTTACATTGAAAGAAATGTTTAATAAAGTAAACAAATAAATATTAAGCTTTTTCTTTTGCAAATTTTGATACCCTTTAGATCATAATTGTTCTTTATTTCATAAATTACGGTTTCATATTTTAATTTTAGAATTTCTGCATGCCATCTTACGAGATTTAAACTGATGATCTATAATCCGTAAAAATCGATAATCCGGAATCGCCGAAGTCCCGACGAGTCCGGATTAATGACTTTTGACTGTAATATAATAACCATCTCAAAGAAAACAATTTCTCCTCTGTGTACACAAATAGGTTTCTCTAAATTTTTCGGTCCAAATGATTTTTTTTTACACCCGTAACTCATGAGATTTGTTTTACGTTCCTATGCATGTTTAATTCAAACGACTTTCCAAATATATCATATACATGCTTGCTCTGCTGTATGAAAATGAATACATTTGTTTAAACTAAGTTTATAAACAAAATGTCTTACATACTTTATACATACTCAGGTTACTTTCATGTGTGAATAAGACTATGCTTCTTTAAATTAAATTTATGAAGAAATGACTTTTCGCATACTTCACACACAAAAGGTTTCTCACCTGTGTGAATAAGCAGATGCCTGTTTAAACTACATTTCTGACTAAATGATGCCTTACATACTTCGCACATATGAGGTTTCTTTCCTGTGTGAATAAGCATATGCACATTTAAGCTTTTCTTGTGATTAAATAACTTCTTGCATACTTCACATGCATAAGGTTTCTCTCCTGTGTGAATTAACATATGCTCTTTTAAATTACTCTTAAGATTAAATGACTTTTTACATACTTCACACGTATGGAGTTTCTCTCCAGTGTGAATAAGCATGTGCCTGTTTAAAATACACTTCTGTCTAAATGATGTCTTGCATAATTCGCACACATGAGGTTTTGCTCCTGAGTGAATAAGCATGTGCCTTCTTAAGTTTTCCTTATGATAAAATGATTTCTTACATATTTCACACATATAAGGTTTCTCTTTAGTATGAATAAGCATATGCTCCTTTAAACTATCCTTAAGATCAAATGACTTTTTACATACTTCACACATATAAGGTTTCTCTCTGTGAATAAGAATATGCTTCTTTAAATTAAATTTATGAATAAACGATTTTTCACATACTTCACATATATAAGGTTTCTCACCTGTGTGAATAAGCATATGCCTGTCTAAACTTTGTTTTCGACTAAATGATGTGTTACATACTTCGCACATATGAGGTTTCTCTTCTGTGTGAATAAGCGTATGCATATTTAAGGTTTTCCTTTGAGTAAGTAACATCTTATATACTTCACACATATAAGGTTAATATCCTGTGCGAATAAACAAATTGAGCTAAGATTGATTGAGTTTACAAACTTCACACATATAGGTGTTCTCTCCCATGTAAATAAACTACACTTTTGACTAAATGATGTTTCACATACTTCGCACAGATAAGGTTTCTCTCCTGTGTGAATAAGCTTGTGCCTGCTTAAATGATCCTTTTGACAAAATTTCTTCTTACGTATTTCACACATATGAGGTTTTTCTCCTGTGTGAATGAGCATACACAGAATTAAATTACACTTTAGACCAAATGACTTTTTACATACTTCAGACAAATTTGGTTTCTTTTTCCCAAAAGATTAGTTACATATCTCCTATGTACATACACTATATTACATAACTGACAGTCTTGGTATTATGTAACTTCCTACATACCTCACGATAATGTTCATATCCTGAATGGATGTAAAATGTTTATCAGAAACTTTCCGCAAAGCAGTTCTTAAATTCTTAACTCTAGTTTTCGCTGTCTTTCACTAATACATGCTATTATCTTCACGAAAATATCATTACATATTCTGCACGACACTTATCTGATGTGCCATATGTGCATGCCTGGATTTCCAAGAACACTTCATTAATAATTCATTTATTATATTTCTCGTAAATTTGATTTCATATACGATATATACATGCTAGATATGAAGGCACGCAACTATGCCACAAATGCAAAGTTCTTTAATATCAACACATGACATACAAGTTTTATTTTGCAACCACTAAGTCTTTCTGCCCACAAAAGGAAAGCCCTTTATCGAACGCTTTCTAGAAATCTGTGAAAATAGCAGCTACTGTTTCTCTTTTTATTAAAATTTTCGCCTATGTTTTCAATTACCCTAGTGATCTACTGTAGAAATACAAGTCAAATAACCTGGCGAAACAGTACATCTTCATGCAACCCATAAAATCTCGAAATTCCTCCTATTTTCCGCAACGAGTCCGATTGCATTATAACACGAAGTGTAATGACTTTATACCAAATCTTTGTTTATACTCCGTGATCAGCAATAATTCGTGTCATGAAGTGCTGAATAAGCAGTTTCAGTTGTAAATTAACTATCAGCATTTCTTCGGTAAAATCCTAGTATACGGTGCGGTCTTGGCGCGATTTTTAAAATTGTCGCCAACACCAAAATGATGCGTTTACGTTTGTCGCCAAATTTTTGGCAACCCCAAAGTAAAGCGTCACCACAAGTTTTAGTTGGCAAAAAAAGTAAACAAAATGATTATCATAAGTTAATAAATCCTAAGCATACGGTGAGACACATGAAAAAAAGCAAGCATTTAGAAATTGAAAATAATTTTTAACAGACTTTATAACAAATAAAAATATAATTTTCAACATGCATCGCAACAAATACAAAACATTCACATATCAAATATAATAAATTAAATACCATGGCTCAGTGTCACATATGTTTTAGGGTCTATATCATAACTCAAAAGCCATGGCCCTCAAACTCGAGTGGCGGATATATTGCTTTTATTGCAAATATAAAGTTTTTCATTTTTTCGGATGACGATTTATTATTTTTCAGGCGCCGCCACATACGTATATTCCATCAAATAAGAGTCAAACTCTTCGCTTACCTTTTTCGTCCCCTTCATCCCACGCTTAACAGCACTCCACATTCCTTCCAAATCCCAAATAAAAATACGGTGGCGCGATTTTTAAAATTTCGGCAGCGATCTGGCATCTACTGCCCAATTACAGCAAGCTTTTCTTCCGGTTCCTAACTTCCAAAAAAATTTTCGTGTTTAAATATTCGCAATGCATAGCACTGCTCATCATAATCGAAAAGTAACGTTTTCCGACTGTAGAAGCAAAATACGTTAGCAAATAGAACTGTAGAACAAAATACGTTACCAACTCGAACTGTAGAATAAAAGACGTTATCAAACTAAAATCATATTCAATATCTTACCAAAAACCGATTAATTAAAAAATATTAACTAATCAGAAACTCAGCGGAACCACTACTGTTATTTTAAAACATACAAAAAATAAAAGATAAATAAATTTGACTTGAACATACATCCTTTCTCATTCAGTTCAGCCGAAGACCGAAGATTAATACAAGCGCCTGGCCCCAGCCACCACCCCTGTTCTTATTGGTTGCCGTTTATGACGTCAGGCTGAAAAGATTCCATTATCTGTTTCGTTTGAGTTATGTCAAGGGGAACTTATAACTACTTTGGATTTGGTTCTTTGCTGTGTTAATGTGAATTTGTGCAATGTAACAGAATATTTGCAATTAAAAGGAACCTAACAGTATAAGAAAATGTCGGCACTTTTTATATAAATTGTTTAATCATGTTAATGTAATAGATAAAACTTTATAATGCGTAAATAGTGTTTGGCTAAGCAATCGTATTCAATGCAATTCATAGCGGGATACTGATATTTAAGAAATGTATTTTAAATTTCATATAAAAGGAGACCATTAACAAGATTTGCTTCGTCAGCAAAGTCAAGAAATAGCACTAACTCTTACTGTGTAAATAATGTCTGCCGCAGTTTCATGAATTAGCGGTTTATTTTGCAGAAAGAAAAAGTATTTTTTAAAAGTGGATATAAATGTAAAATGTAGTTATTTCTTTATAAAAATGAACTGTTTGATAATTCAATTACCTTCCTTTCATTTATTGCTTGTTGTATAGAGATTGTTTGGTATCAAAATTGTTCGTAGTCAGATTAATTTTTTACTTTCTAATCCTAGGCATTAATTTCTCCTCATTTATGGTTAAAAATAAGATAAAGTGATAAGATACTTTTAAATCGTAAAATACTTATAATATCGTTTATTTGACCTTGTCATTTGGAGTTATCATTCTGTTTTTTTATGTATTATTGTTTTGTTTCTTAACTTTTATATCTTATAAAAAGTGTTTATTGTCAAATGACTTCGATATTCGTCTAATGACCAAAATACTGCTAAACGGTTATCGACTGCACATCGAATTGCACCTTTTTTTCTAATATTATGTATATTAACAATATATTTCTGAAGCTACTTTTTATTTTGTAATTTTTCGCAATATGGCAAATTATTCCATTGCTTCGCCTGTTTCAGCGCTAAAATGACCTCGAGCTCAAGCTTTTGGCGCACAAAAATGCTGCAAAAATTCTTTTCGTCACTGTATGACATCAGAAGTCGTGTCCAATAAGAGCTTGGGGTGGTGGCTGGGGCCAGGCCCTTGTAAGATTAATGGACTTCAAACAATGGTTTTTCTCTTCCATCTGCACCAATCAAAACTTCTCAATTTAAAATATTTAATGAGCATGCGCGAAAATGCTCCCAAATCACCCTCCTCCAGAGCTTCGAAAATCGGTTTGGTTACCACAATTGGCGCGCTTTTTAGTCTCTTAAACCCGAATTTCGCCAACTCTCATTTGCACCGTTTCAGCAAAATACTTCACACTGTGTGATGTGGAATTTTCTTTTCACAACTTTCAAATAAATAACTTCATCATAGAAAAATCAAAACTTTATACTTATTCGTAAGAGTGCATGTGATGTAATTCCAGTTCTGTCGATCTACACGTAACGCAGCAGACGCAAGTAAATCATTTGCTGTCCAGAGGATAAATTGTGAAACTTAATTACAGAAATTATATGAATGAATCAAGGGGTAAAATAGCTGCTAATCAACTCATTTTACATCCATGCAAAACGAGAATATCTCTGTGAGTACGGATCAAGTTATATGGATGCTATCAAAGTTCTCAACTAATAGAGAGCATTCTGTATGGGAGAGAAACTTATGGCAAAAAGTTATGAAACAGGTCCTTTGCGAAAAGCAATATTTTAAAAGAGTAATGCATGTTCATGCAGAACAGAAACCTCATATTTTAAGTTGCATAACCAATCATTTAAATTAAACTATAAACAGGCAAATGCTTACTCTCACACGACAGAAACCTCATATGTGTGAGGTATGTAATAAGTTATTTACAAAAAAATGCAATTTATTCAATCATATGCTTCTTCACACAGGAGAGAAACCTTATGTATGTGAGGTGTGTAACAAAGCATTTAGTCAAAAGGGTAGTGTAGACAGGCATATGCTTATTCATACAGGAGAGACACCTCATATGTGTGATATATGTTATAAATCATTTAGGCAAAAGGGTCATTTAAACCGGCATATGCTTCTTCACAAAGGAGAGAAACTTCATGTTTGTGAGGTATGTAATAAGTCATTTAGCCAGAAGGGTACTTTAAATGTACATATACTTATTCATACAGGAGAGAAACCTCATGTCTGTGAGGTTTGTAATAAGTCATTTAGACAAAAGGGTGATTTAAGTATGCATATGCTTATTCACTCTGGAAAGAAACCTTATATGTGTGAATTATGTAAACAGTCATTTCGACTAAAGCATGATTTAAACAAGCATATTCTTGTTCACAGGGAACAGAAACCTTATGTGTGTCAGGTATGTAATAAGTCATTTCTTGAAAAGGGTAATATAGAAATGCATATGCTTACTCATACAGGAGAGAAACCTCATGTATGAGTTATGTAGTTTCATTTAGAATAAAACATGATTTAAATCTTCACGCTGGAGAAAAATGCCATGTTTGCTATGTAACAAGCCATCTAAAAAGAAGCGTAGATTAATGAAGCGTATAATATTCGTGCAGGAGAGAAACCTTGTATATGTGCGAGGTATGTAACTAGTCATATCGACAAAAGAGTGATGTAAGCCTGCATATATTTCTTCACACTGGAGAGAACTTATGGGTCTGATGTATGTAACAAGACATACAGACAAAAGCGTCAGTTAAGCAAATGTGATTATTCATACAGGAGAAAGACTTCTGTGAATGAGATATGTAACTGAAAGATGACTTAGGCAATCATATGCTTAAAGGAATGCATAAGAAAGGAATTTATGTATATAGGGATGTAATTTAGGGGGGAAAAATGTGATTTAAGCATCCATATTCCTATCAGTGAATAGCAGACACCTATCTTTCAAGACATTTTTACATTACAGTAGCTCTTCATTTTCTCCTTATAAGTGTTAAGTATTGATATTTATCACCTGTTCGAATGCATAACATGTATTATTTGTATATTAACCTCTTGAGATTTTTGTATTGCTAAAATCCTGAAGCAAAGCTCATGTTTCTTCAATATGCATGCTTTCAGTTGTAGGTGCTTTGCTACAAATGTGTGTCCTTTCAGTGGCTATGTACATTATTGACTATGAAGATTTCAGTCTCTGATGTGTGGTTAATGATATAAATCTTTACCACACCTTGCTCATGCTATTATGTGCAAGTAAGTAATCAATATATGACATTCGCAAAATCACGTATACAGTTAGCACATCTAATGGTAAAAGAATAAGATGCCATCTGAAAGGTTTATTAACATGTAGCAGACACAGAAAGCAGTGTTAAGGAAGTACTTTTATTGTGATGAATAAATTATATTTATATGAAATAAATTGCAAATATAGTACAATGTCCAAAATCCGGACTCGTCGGGACTTCAGCGATTCCGGATTTGAGATTTGTCTGGATATTAGATCATCAATTTAAATCTGGTAAGATGACATGCAGAAATTATACATTTAAAAATATGAAATTGTAATTTATGAAATAAAGTTTAATTAGGATCTAAAAAGTATCAAAATTTACAAAAAAAAAAAAAAAAGCTTAATATTTATTTGTTTACTGTATTAAACATTTATTCAAAAAGTTCTTTTTTCTTATGTCATATATTATTCTTATGTCATACATGACTTTCCAATGCCATACTCCTCACGTAATTTTAAGACAGATATGCCTTTATCCATTTTTTTGCAGCAATTTCACTTTTTGTTTATGGACATCGAAACATGGTTTTGCTTTGTAGATCCTTTGGCAGCTACAGAATTGGAAACTCGTGTAGAGTAGACTTTAAGGTACCCCTTGTATTATGGCAAAGTTGTTGTTTGATTCATCGCCAAGTTGTTGTTTCATTTATGGTAGCCTGAGTAGTTGAATGTTATGGAATCCCTATTGTGACGTAATCGGGTGCATGGTTCTGGGAAATTTTGAATCATGGGATGTTTTGTAAGCGTTTTTGTAGTGTGTGTTGGTTTGATTCTGTAGACGGTAGAATGGCCGAATGTAGTAAGATTAATTTGAAGTTTCTGTACGATTTGGAACGAAAGGGGAAAAGAGCTTCAATTAACTGGTGTGTAAATGAAGGTTTACTTAATAGCCATTATAAGTGTCCTGTATGTAGGAAGGATATGCGTCTAGTCAAACGTAAAAACCGTTTAGATGGATTTGAATGGGTTTGTAGGAAAAAAGGTTCAAATGGTCACTATGTGAAGCTTTCGATCAGAAAGAGTACCTGGTTTGAAAAAAAGTCATTTGAGTATGATTGATATTTTGATTCTTACGTGGCTCTGGGTGTACGAAGTGAACTCGAAAATCATGGTAAGTGAATATTCGCTTTTGGTAGTGCTTAAATGTATAACATGTTTTTCCTTTTTTATGTTATTTTATTGTTTGGTTTAAAATGTATTTTATTGAGATTATGTATTTTTTGTTTGCCTATATTGTAGAATTTGGTCCTCCTTTGACTTTTTAAGTGAAAATATATCGATGTGTACATGGACAAAGTAAAGGGAGTGCGCAATGCAAGTTTGTGCAATTCTGGTTTTTTTTTTTTTTTTTTTTTTTAAGTAAAAATAGGTCGACGTGTACATAGATAAAGTTAAAGCGCCTTTCTAAAGTTCTAAGATTTTGTTGCCCCTAAACTCAGTGCTTTCCCTAAATTAAAAAAATTTCTCATCCCTTAATATTGCCACTCAGTGCATCCCCAAATTCCAAAAATTTTGTCTTCCCTAATTCTGCCGTCCAGTGCAGCCATATTCTGTCGCTGCTTCTGGCTTTATGTGAATAACATATCAGTTATTCTTAATTAAAATAGCACTAAATGTAAACTTTTCGCCTATGAGTTTCATTAACAAAATGTATTTTTTAACATATGAAAAGAAATTTTTGTTAAATTTTTCCTCATCAACATTTCTTAGTGTATTGAACTCAATTAAATCTGTAATTATCACCTAGCATAAAAGGTTGGCATACTCTTGTTATTCAGTTACTAAAATAAAAAAAAAAAAAAAAAATTAGACATCGCTGTATGAGTCATTACTGTAGTTGTCATGTATTGATAAACATGCAGATGAAAGCAAAATAAAATAAATAATGACTCGCCAGGTCGGTGTCAGTGATATAAAATGCTAGTAGGTGCATGTTTCAATTTGAGATGTATTCTAAACAGATACTCAACTACGGAGCCAAGTTATTTAGCTCACAAATTTATGCCTACAGGATTGTTACTTCATAACGAGGTATTTTATTTAGTGCCTAAGTGAAATTAAGAATCAGAATTTTTAGTGAAAATCTCCACATGTTTTATTATGGAAGGTGAAATTAAATGCGCATGCGTAAAACATACAAAAAAAAAAGTTTGTGGATTTGAGGTCCGGATATTGGATGTCCTGATCTTGGACTTTGTACTGTATTAGTTTTTTTTCTTTTAGACTTTTTAAGGTGACATCTCGAATAGAACTAAGTAAATCACATACAGTTTTGAGCATCTGAATTAAGTCCTCAGAATTTGAATTAATGTTTGAATTTTGCTCCAGTTACTAAATTTGCTCAAAAGATATGCATTTATGAAAAAAGTGTACTTTTTATTACTTGAAAAAATATTTAATGTATATCATTCTTAGTTTTTCTAGTATAAATCAAATAGTGGTATTTTGAATAAATTTTATCTAGGTAGATGTGATTAATACAGTTAATAGTAACATGACTGACAGCACTAATGAAAAAAAAAAAAAAAAAAAAAAACTTGAAAAACCCCATTTATTTGAGTGTGTATCTCCTTGTCTGTACTCTTTGATCATTTTGAAATTAATGCAGTGCACATCATATACACTCATGTGCAAAATTAAGGGAATTTGCACATCATGTTGAATTTCTGAAGAGCTAATGAACAGATTTTAATGACATTTGTTATGAATATACATTTGTAATGGAAAAAGATATAACATTCAAAACTCATTTTATGTAAGCTCATAGTGGATGTTCAATATTAGTAAAGCTCATAGTGGATGTTCAAAATCTATGATGTGCTACTGAATTGAAAATGAGTCTAATATGGGGTATGGTCCCCCTCACAGCCAGAGAGCATTCTAGACATGCTTCCAAGAGCATTCTAGACATGCTTTATAGGTTTAAGGTCAGGAGATTTGGCTGTTAATTCAGGTCGTGAATATCCTCACAATCCACATAATTGTCGACAAGCTGAGCCCGATGCAGATAAGAATTATCGTCCATTAACGGGAACATAGGACCAACTGTGCCCCTGAAAAGTTGACCATAGGATCTGTAAGATCTCCTCTCTATACCTCATAAGAGTCAGAGACTTTTGTCAAACATATGTGAGAGTGTGTGGCCATCCAACATATGCCTTCCCAAACTTCCACCATCATAATTTTCTTTTTCCCTGATGAGTGATTGAAGGATGCCAAAAATCAGGCTGAATCTCGATGCTTCTGTAAACAACCATGTGCTTCACTGAAGTCTGGTTCAAGGTGCTGTGTGCAGGATACTAACAATGGATCTTCTGGCATACAGCCCTATTTCATGAAGCCTTCAGGCAATTGTAGACTACGAAACTTGGATTTCAGTGGCAGCATACAGCTCGCACGACAGCTGTAAAGCTGTAGCAGTTTTATGCTGCTTGAAAGTGCCAAATAATGATCCTTATTCATTGTGAATTTTGACCTTGTTCTAAGTCTTCTCAGCATGGATCCAGTGTCCTGAAACTCTTTCTATAAACTGCAGATAACACTGGATGTTACAATGAGGTCTGTAGCTATCTGCATATGTGATTGGCCTGCCTCCAAGCTGTTGACAGTTCTCCATTTCATTCCATCATCCATATGTTTGTGGCTACTCATTTTGCTTGATATCTTCTAAAATTTATTTAGCTCTTGTGAGAAACACAGCGAATGTTATGAAAGTGTATGAACATACAAATCACCAAAATCCCTTATGCATATATACCCCCTTCATAATTACAGCTCTGCAAACACACGAGTATGCTTATGTATTCGACTCTGAATATTTGCATAATTCTTTGGCAGCAAAATTAATACCTTCAGTTTATTTATTTTATTTTTTTTTTTTAGTTAATTAGTACCTTCAGTTTATTTATTTATTGTAAAAATAGACACAGTTTGCAGATTCTTTTAATTTTGCACACAAATATATTTGCCACAGTATAATTTGTTTGGTTTTGTATTTATAAGAAAAAACTAACCATTTACATTTTTATGTTTTTCTTACAACTTGCAAAGTGTTATAAAGATGAGCTTCATGTTTTGTAGGTGAAATGTAACATGAAAATGTAACTGTGTCTGTAATGTTAGTCTTCCATGTACACAATTTTCCACAACATAAATTTTAATTATTAATACAGCTCATAAATATATTAGAA